TCTTCCAGAAAACGGAAAATAACACTTATTTAATTGCAACAGTTAGTTATTGTTTGGTGAAAAATTGTTTGTAGAGATCTGATTTTTCTTTCTTAATTTTCAAGTGGACTATCTTTGTGGTGTTCACTGAATTCTGAAACTCTTACTCATGTGATCTTTAAATTAAATAGACTAAATTACCTATTGCAGGCTTCTGTCTGCTGTATTCTCTTCCCCCCTCCCATTTCTGGGTAATAGATGAATGTGGCATACCTTGGGCATGAATTGGATAGAGAATCTGTTAGAGAAAACACTTTAAAACCTTTCTGCATTCACTGTTGAGTCTCTACTTCCAAAAGCATTCTTGCCTTCATTGAACCAGATCATATCTGAAGACATCTGCATCTGACTATTGGTTGTAGAAAAGGAAGCACATGTTATCTCTGTAAAATGTAAACATAATTTGTTCAAGTTTTTTCTCTCCTTCTATTGCAGTATTGCTTAAGAGGCCTTTATGATAGTAAAAATACAATTGAAAGCTTCTAGTAACAAACATACCAAATATTTTAAAGCATACTGGGGAGCTATGATGATGTTGCTTCACTTCCTCTATCTATTGCATGATGGCAAACACGGTGTTTTGAAGGGACTTTGCAAGTTTTAAAGTTTATATCTTTGCTTTCATCTGATACTTAAAAAAATAGTCATGCCTTTTTTGTTAATGGAATGCTTGTTTTAAAGAAATAATAATGCCAAATTTGAAATTACATGTGGATAGTAACATTATATGCCTGTTTTCACAAACTGGTCATTTTTGATAGTTGAACTTGTTTCTCATTTAATTTCACAACAGTTTGAGGTTTGTGGTGTTATAGGTTTTGCTGCAGTGATCATTAAATCTGCTACTGTGTTAGGAAAACCTGAAAAGTTCAGTTCAGAAAAGGCTTTTACATAAGACAGTAAGGCTTTACTTGGATACTTTCTTGTGTTGCAAAATGAGGTTTTCTGTACATAAAGATCTGAATTATTTTGAGAAGCTCATTGCTTTGTTAGGTAGTTCTTATAACTTCACTGAACAGCATAGACCATGGAAAGTGGTCGAGAAATCAGTGTATTCTAACTGAATGAGTTTGATTTTTGAAATGTGAAATGTGTGCGGGCCTGGAATGTACTCAGATTTGAACTAGATAAGTTTTACCTTTTTTTCAGCATTAACAAAGTTTAAATCTGTTTATATTTGTAATAGCCTGCATTTTTATCTTTTTACTGTGTTTTATCCCAAATTTCACCATCTTTAATGCAGCTTAGCTTTGTCCAATCTTGTTTCCTCTTACATTCTAAACATGCTCTAAACAAAACATGTCAAGGGAATTCTGCCACAAAACTGAAATAATCAGTGCTGGGCCAGGCTACTTTAGAATGATTCAAACATGAATGATTAACATCGTAGTGATGTTAACTATCTCATGTTTCTGGAATAGGACTTCAACCATGCTGTTTCATTACTGATTTGGTGGGATGCATTGTGCCCAAAACACCCTGTTAAGTCACTGTCTGTTTCTGAGTTTAGTAAGAGTGGAAAGGGGCATTTTTGCAGCAAAATACTTTTCATATACATTTCCTTAATAGTGTTTAAAATTAAACTTTTTTTCTATATAGTTTTGGTTCAAAAAGTGGTTTGAGGCTGTTTTCTGACTGCTTTATTAAGTATTTAAAATTTCAGAAAGAAGTTGTGTGTTGCAAGTTCAAGGACAAAGTTCTGTACAGAACAATTGCAGAAGAGAGAGCAACTCATAGTAGTTGATGATTCTTGAGCACTAGTAACAGGTTGTGATAGTAGAATAGATAAAAGACCAACTGTTACACTGTGAGATGGTAAAGGTACATGCTCCAGAGTACAGCTGGCATTGGTGCAGTGAGGGAGAAATTTGGTCCCTAACCAAAGTTCTTACACTGGCAGAACTATGTCTATAGTAGTTAAGACACAGCTCTGCCTTTGCTATTTATGTTTGCATAGAGTAGTTACAAGCTAAGGCTAGGAGTAATTTGTTCACAGACTCATTATTACTGTTGATGTAATCATATTTTGAATCAAGACTGTTTACCATGTGAATTAGGATGCTGTTGTCATAGATGTTGTAAAGTTGCCTTTGAGACCTTAGTCTTTGATGCTTTTGAAGGAATGTAGGGGAAGTAAGCATCCAAAAGCCTGTGATGATCTTATGTATAGCTTTCTAATGCCTTCTGCCTCTTACTTTCTAAAAGACTTTTACCTATAGATTCACACACTTAAGAGTACATTCTGCAGAAACTGAAAAATTGAGGGTTATTGAGAAAAGAATCTAAGTTGACTACAAAGGATCCCACTTACTGAGTACTACTCAGTAGTAAATCCTTCTTTACCAGAAGTTTGCTAGCAGTACTTCTGGAGGCTGACTCCAGGCTTGATCTCTGTGTAACAGAGAAAAACTGGACTTCAGAAGAAGAAATAAGTCAAGACTTAAGTATCTTAGGTTTGTTAATTCTTATTGTAGTTACATCATTTAGAAGCACAAATTTAAGGCCCTGCTGATGTATTTTTTTTAAACCTATTCAGTAAAATGAATAGTTAAGCAATGTTTCTGTACTTCTTTGGTTATAAGAGTTGTGGGTGCTAATGTTTTTGTTCTGTGTTTTTCCATGGTGTTAATGGGTAACTCCTACAGAATGATTGCCTAATAAAGCTATATGTATTAGCAGACTAGTATTTGAATCACCAGGAAGTTTTGAGATCTCTTAAAGGTTCAATAGCATATTATTGGTATGCTACAAGTAAGAGTTCGGTAGTCAAATACTGGAGGAAAGAATGAGGATTACCTATGATTTTTAGTTTGACCTAGCATTTCATCCTGACAGTGATATTCTGACATGTACTAGGGTAGTAGCAAAAGGGTTGGGACAGACCGGACAGAAGGTGATGGATACTTTTAGGAAAGAGAAATAATGAAGATGGTGTCTTTTTAAAAAATATATATAATAAAATAAAATCTGAGGATCATTGAAGAAATTTGGTATCTTAAAGAAATTCTGGACAAAAGAATATAAAATGTAGGTATCACTGGACTTCACAAAAGCCAGACTGGCAACAGTTTAATCTGTGTAGAAATACTGTGGAGCTGGGTTTATATGGAAGTGTGAAGTTGATAATTATATGTAGGAGGAACATCTAGTACTGCCTCAAAAGCAGAACATTTACTGTATGTGTTGATGCTGACGCAGAGGAAGAAAACACTTAGACTCTCTGGTTCTTGACAGGACAGCAGAGTTCTAAAGTTTTTCAACTTGCATATGAATGTTATAAATAAAACTCCAGCAGGAAAAAATATTTTACTAAAAGTTCTCTCTCATTTTTTAAAGGGCTGTCTAATTACAAAGATTTAACTTGAATCTCCTGAATTCACAAATTGAGAACTGGAATTAAAGCTGATGATATTTCATGCTGAAAAGGGAAATGTTTTTTGAACTTGCCATTCTTCAACTTCTGATGTGCTGTATTGGCAGTCTTGCAAAACTGTACTTGCCCACTGTGATTAGTGGGATCTTTAATTGCCTACAATTAAAGTCCTTGTTGGTAGGAGGTGCTGATAATGGTTAGCAGACCAGACAGAAAAACATTCTCCATTTTGCAAGGCTGATGAATACGAGTGCGTTGACATGAATTAATTGGTATTGTAGGAAGTAGTAGCATGCCAATAATTAACTTGTATGTCTTCTTCCATTTAAGGTATCTAGTGGATAGTCGCTGGTTCAAACAATGGAAAAAATACGTTGGTTTTGACAGCTGGGACAAATACCAGATGGGAGATCAGAATGTGTACCCTGGTCCTATTGATAATTCTGGACTTCTCAAAGGTAACTGCTTCTGATTGTGTAATAAGCCAATACTAACATTTAGTGCAAATTTGTCACAGATTGTTCATCTTTTGTAGTTGATAGTGTAAATGAATCTCAGCATATATCAAGGTGAAACTGTTTTGTTTGTTTGTTTTCACACCTTGACAAGGGAACTAGAATAGATTTCCCTAACAAATTACAATTTTATAAATAAAATTATTGGAACTACTTTGCAATGGTAACAGAATGTTTAATAATGTACAAATTACTGGTTTATAATGGTATTTTGGGATACCTTGAGAGTTGAAATTTAGTCAAGTTGACAAATAGCTAGCCTGAGTTCACTAAGATTTTTTTAGCTTAACTAAATTGGTTGATTTAAAATAACGTTTTTAAGTTGAACTCTAAAATTTCTTTTTGTAAATGAGCCCCAAGCCCTTACTTTGATTCTGGAACAATTGAAGAAGAGGTATTATGCAGTTCAGTGATAATATAAAGTGGTGCAAAATGATAAAGCATAATTTCCTCATTTTTTATGGTCTTCTAAGTATGGTTAAACTCTGTCACTGTTATAATTACTCAGGTCTGACTGACTTTTGCTGAACTGTAGTCAGATTTGTGGACACAGGTCTCAGAATACTTTCCCAGATATTTTAATCTTTAGGTCAAGTTCTATATTTAATGTCTGGTATTGAAATACCACTAGAGCCATTAATATTTAATCTGCAAAATCTAGTGGATGCAAAATCTAGTGGGTACAAAATCTAGCAGATAATTGGTTTCCTTCTTTGCAGTTACAGGTAATGTAATAGTACTACATAATTTGTTTGCACATAGTAATACAAATTTTTACAACTTCATGGGGTTTATGATGAACTCTGACTTCATTCAAAACTTCTCAACTGTAATTAATATCTCATTATTTTACAAGTTAAATGTTAAAGATGATTGCCTCTTTCATAGGACTTGTCATACCATGTTGAACTAGTTGTCAGCGTGAGTGAGTGTGTGTGTGTCTCAGTGACTAGTATTAGTGCCTTTGAAGAAGGTGCTGTATTGTCATATGCACCTATATGTTCTCTTCCATCCACAAACTTAAAGGTCTTTTTGCTCCAGGTGAGTGATATGTTTTGTTTTCTGAAGTGTGAGGATCTAGATCTTTCGTACATTCTTGTAGTAAATCTTGCAGTGAGGCAGGCATGTTCAGGTGATACTTTTCAGTTGAAATCAGATGTAGCGAGATCTTTTTATCCTCAGTGAGGCAGCATCATCTTATTCTCTCTTCTGTGTCTACCCGCCTTAAAAAAAAAAAAGGTGATTTCTAGATGTGCAAAGCACTGTGTTAGTTGATCTGTATTACTTATAACTTAATCTACATACATGTTCAGATTATGTTTGAAGTTACTGTGGCTATGAAGCCTATATTAGGGTTAGCTGTCCAAATCTAAAGTCATGTTAGCCATTTTGCTGAAAGCTCCTGAAAACCTGTATTCTATTGTTTTGACGCTGCCAATGTCCCTTTCAAAGTAAACACAGCATCAGGGTTTATGAACTTCACTTTTTGCTCATTGATGGTTCTAAAACTATGGCTCTGCTTTGGCAGTGATAGCATGCACCCAATTACCATCTGACATCTACTGTTCCTGTGTGAAGGCAGTTTTAAAATTAAGGGCATTAGTGCTCAGCAAATAGTAGCTGTCTCCTTCACCTGCTGCAAAGCAGCGATCCTCTGTACTAGGTTTCCTATGTAGCACAAATTGAACCTGAAAATACTTGGGTTTTAATTCTGTCTTTGGCACGTAGTATGCACTAGTTGCTCTCATACTGCTCTCCTTAAGTGTTAAGTCTCAAAATTTGCATCTGATTTAAAGAATAAAATAATCTAAAATGGGCATGCTTTCTAGATATTCTGCAGTGTAATGCAGTGATAAAGAGAAAGACTGATTCCAGGTAACTGAAGCAGTATATTGTGCTTATATGACTTAAATGCTGCTCCCTTATTTCCAGAACATTTGGATGAAGTGAGAGCAGTGAAATGTAACAGGTAGAGATTTCAGTTAATCTCAACATATGCAAAAAATGTTGTTGAATGTAATGGCATGCACACTTGCCGTCTTCAAGAGATATATAGTCAACTTTAGATTAGCAAGGCAAGCACAAGGAAGTCATTTAGAATAGCTGATTGTTCATCATAGAAAACAGTGTTGCATATGAGAACAATATCAGATCAGTGCAGAAATACAGTATGAACCTTTTAAAGACATACATGGACCTGAAGATGTGTTTGTGGATTTCTCCCCACACTTTACTCCCAGTTATAACGGAACCACCATATGCATAGTGTTGAGTGGGCCAAGTAAGACTTGATAGTGTGAGTCGTGAATTATTTCAGCAAACGTTTCTTGTATGTAGCTCTTGAATATAGATTTTTTTCCTAATCAGTCAAGACAGTTTTAAACCAAAATTTGACTCTTGAAAATTGTTACTTTTACAGCTAGGATGAAACAACCTGAGGGGAAAAAAGGAAAGTACCTTTTAAACAGGTGCATTGATTGAAGTCTCATTTATTAGGTCACTAATTATATTTATCACCATGAAGACTTGAACTCTTATTTACCTGTATGTTCACTGAGATGTTCATGTGAAGTTCCATTTTACTTTTTGCTTGAGAAGTGTATGTACTATGGCTCCCAAAGTGGAATCCAAAGTCTGAGGTTTTCTTCCACTTTCCTTTGCTGCCTTCTGTGTTGTTCTTGTGGTTTTTTCTTGCTAAAATCGCAACAAATACTTTGGCTATTTCTGAACTTGATTATCCCCTCTTTCTAAAATAACTTCATAATTCTAATACTTACCTGGCTTTATTTTGGGGTTTTTGTTGTTTAGCTCTTCCTACTAAGTCATTTACGATTTTTATCGGAGAAAATGCATGGAAACCATATTGTACCTTCTTGACTGCATGAAGTCATCTCTAAACTGCACAGATTGCATATTACGGAAACAGTATCTTTGCCATCTCTGAGCAGCTAATGGTAATAGCAACTATTGCACACTTAAAATACATGAACTGAGAACAATATGCATCTCCCACGTTTTGCTCACACATCAAGGTACTTAGCTGGAGAAGGAAAGAGGGAGTCAGCACCAGTGATAAGATAATAGGAGCAGAAGAAATCTGTGCAACCTTCTTTGTCCATTTTTTCACATTTAGGTGATTAAAGGAAAAAGCATTGCTTTTTTCCCATATTTTCCCTTAAAATCACAAACCCTTTAAACCAAGTGAAGGTGTAGCAAGCGCAGGTAGAGTAGGGAGATCTCTAGAGTCTCAGTAAGATGAATCTTGTTTACTCTTCCCACCAGGAAGTGAACACATCTCTTGAATGTCCTCAGTAGCGTTGCCCTCCTACAGAAAAGGTCATGCTGAAACATGTTTTGTTAAATTCTTATACAGAAAAAAAAATTTTTGAATAGTTGTTATTATTAAAGGACCTTTAATTTTTAAGTGTGCCTTTTTTAATGCTCAGGATATTTTTTTTTTTCACTTGAAGTCACATTATGCTGTGTTTGTTCAATCTGTACAAAGGAGAAAAAAGGGAAGTATAGAAATATGATCAAATGAGAGGACCTTAATGCTTTTCATATGCGCATAGCACACACTTATTTTTGTCCTTGCAGAAAAATGAAGGTAACAGTATTCATTTTGTTTAGAAGTAGTACTTAAAAAAAAAAAAAAAACAAAGAGTAAATAGACTGTATATTTATTACAGTCTATTTATTCTTTATACATAGTCTATTTGTTTTCATACTTCATTAAGTTTGTCATCCTGATTCATTCTTTGGAGCTGAATGTGTGGGTCTCCCTGTTTGATCACCCTCTGTACAGAGGGATGTTTGCTGGCCTGTAGTTGGGTACTTCCAAATGGAAGGACAGCTGCCCTAATTGTCTGAGGCTCACAGCGGCTCAGATCTGGAGTCACCTCTTACACATATAGGATAGCTGCTGTCTTACCACTGTAATAAGGGTTGAACTGAAGCTAAAAGCATGCTACTTATGTGAAGAGGTTGCCATGTAGCACTTGAAAGAAGTACAGTATCTCGCTGTCCCTGTGAAGAATTTTGTAGGGACTGTGTTTCCAGAGCACGTAGGATCCTTTAAGTAGCAGGGTTGTACCATGTTATTTTCCCAGTCTGACATGGAGTGAATGACTTCGAACTTTGTCTTGAATCTACTGTAACTACCCATTCCTGCATTTTCCAGTGAAGGAGCAACTATAGCATGAAATGGAAGTATCCATGGTGATGTGGGAATATGTGCAAAGTGGGTGGAGAAATGGATTGGTTTCTCTGAAGGCTATGGTGGCGTGTGATAACAAGTTAGGTGCTTATGATTGCATGAGGATATGGAGTTGTCACTTGAGTTCTTGAATGTAGGAATACTACCTGTAATAGGTGTGCTATGCATGAACTGGATAGCTTGCCTAAATAGTTTCAGAAGAGTTTTGCTTTGAACACCGTAATACTGATAACATAACTGTGACTCAGAAAATATTTTGTTTGCTATTTATATGAAAAATGTTACATTCAAAACTCAAGTAACAGAATGACAGTATTCAAGTAAAAATGTCTTTCTCTTATAGATGGTGATTCTCAGTCTCTCAAAGAACATCTCATTGATGAGCTGGACTACATCCTTTTGCCGACTGAAGGCTGGAATAGGCTAGTTAGCTGGTACACACTGATGGAAGGTCAAGAGCCAATAGCACGCAAGGTACTCTTAAATTACCTACTGGGATGAATATGATTCAGATATAGTCCTGCAAATATGCAGGAGTTGCACAGGAATTTATTAAGAGAATTGTAAGTCCTGGCCTATGATAATCGTATAGACAACTCCTGCTTTAGTTGCTTATAGCTATCTAATTTTTATTCAGATTTTAGAGGCTTAAGTTTTTAATATTGGGAAATGAGGATGCAAAGAATATAATACTTTCTTTTTCTGGAAGTAAGCCCTCTAATGTTTCAAGAAGAACTTGCTTTAGAAGTTTGTAAGTCTATTAATGCAAATGATTTTGTAATTAAGTAAAAAAACCCAAAACTGTATTGACTATATTAGTGAAAAGCCTAGCTCTAATAATGTTAACACTGGCAGAGTAATTGGTCGTTCCTTTTCTGATAAACAGAGTCTTCTGTGTTCAGCAGCTTGCTAAGGGAGTTTTTTCTTTAAGCAAAAAGCTTACCTCAACACAAGTAGTAGTCCATGGTATGATGGATACTGTGGCCCTCCGTCAGTATAAGACACTTAAATTAACATCTTTGATGTTAATTTTTGTTTGTTCCAGCACATACCATCCTTATTATTAAGGTGATATGACATTTTACCAGTTTATTGATCATACAGTCTTTTTTATTTGTATTATTTCTTAAGATTTTCAGGTTAGTGATTACAGTTGCATCCTCACTGGACTGAATTACTTAAGTTTTAAAATACATTTTGGTATGTTTGCCATTTCTAAATTGATCATTAGGGCATATTCTTTCAGTTAAAGGGATCTTTATTTTAATTCCTGAAAAAATGCTGAAAGAATAGTATGACTAGAATATAGTTTGATATGACTTCTGTGTAATACAACTTTTTTCCCTCCTATGACATGAGTATGGTCTAACTACATGCATGCTGGCCACTTACTTGAAGTGCATTCCTTTCAAACAAATGCCAGATTTAGCTATAGAAGAAATTTTGCTTCTTCAAGATTCATTTGGTCAGCAACAGTAGTTTGTTGGGGTTTTTTTTTTAACATTCTCTTTAATAAAAGAGATCTTTTTTTTAAAGAGACATCCCTGGAATGTCTCTTTCTTTTTCTCTTAGTTCTGTAAGAGCTGAAATCCATTAAAATGGCTCTCCTTCTTTAAAGATATATCTGTTATCAACTTGTTACTGTTCTTCCTGAAGATGGATTTCAGCAAACTGAATCCTCTTCCATCATCATGGTAAAGTAAAAGTTCTGTAATTTTTTCACTTTTCGGGGGAAAATGGAAGGAGAGAGAAAGGAAATTAGAGTAACTTGCCTTCTACTTGGAAGGAACTAACTGGAAAAATACATAGAGTGTAATGAGTGGCCAGGTAAACTGGCATAGCTTCATCATTTCTGCCAATACGAACAGTAGTTATCCTCTGAAATGCATATTCGGGTTCATAATTTTTCTTTCTGATGCTTTTGTCATTTGTTCATGATTCTTTCTCCTGTCTGCCTTAATGTTTTATCATAGAGGTGGGATGATACTTTCCTTTCATCCTCTTTGTTACATCAGCTTTTTTTCAAATGTGGATCCAAATTTTAAATTGATACAATGTTGTACTTGATCCATGTCAAATAACATTATGAATTTATGTAATAGGATGTGGTAATACTACCACTACAGTGTCAGTTTTATTCTCAAAAATGTCTTAGCCATACTGCATAGTTTTGTTTACTGCAACTATTTTGTTGTTACTCCAGTAGTTGAAAACCCGACTAAGCTGCTCAAATTAAGATGCATTTTTATTTAAATGTCATGGTTGGCAGTCATTAAAGCTAAGGCAAACTACTGAACAGCAATGAAATCATTTGTTAATTTTTTTTTTCCTATGGCACATGCATACAAGTTATATTTGTACAGCAGATAGCAGATCTCTCCTAGCAATTAGCTGGTGGCTTTTTTTTTTAACCGTATTTGTCAGATGTATCACATATCAGGCCGATGGTTATTTTTGGAACAGTCTACATGACTAAGTACTGCAGTTACACTTTGGAAGATCAAAGGGAAAAACATTTAAGAGGTGACCCTGAATATTTTTTTTCTACATTTTACTTTTATAAAAAAAATTCCTGTATACTTAACTGTTTTGTAATAGGTGTTACAAAAATGAACATACAATAAACAACTGTAATGAGTAGGTGAAATTTCAAATGAATGTATTCATTATCAGAATATAAGTGGAAGATTTGTAGGTTTTGTTTAAAAATATGATATCCAGATTTTATTTGTGTGTATTCTGTTTTTGATAAGTTTTCTTTAACTGTGAAAACTAGTTCTTCATGTTTTGAGGAAGTATCATACAATGAATGTATTTTGAAATAAAAATAACTTTTGGTGTTTTTTATCTTTTGAGCAAGTATCTTATCTTTTGGTTAAGTATACATATTTGTGATTTCCACTGTACTTAACACTTTGAAAGACAGGGTGGTGGTGTTATACATAGGTAAGACATCATCATCATGGCAAAAAACTTACTTTTTAGTTTACTGTATTTCTAAAAAGTTATAGGAGAATTTTAGTTCTAATTTTTGGCATTTATGAAGTGTCTTACATTCCCGAACTTCAGTTTCTGGAAGAGGTCTCAAAAATACTTTGAAGTGTGTATCTGAAAATGTATTTGGACTGATACCTGATCCCAATCTGTTTTTCAGGTCGTTGAACAGGGTATGTTTGTAAAGCACTGCAAAGTAGAAGTATATCTCACAGAATTAAAGCTTTGTGAAAATGGAAATATGAACAATGTTGTCACACGAAGATTTAGTAAAGCCGATACAATAGGTATGCACAACTATTCTTTTAAAATATATGCTTGTTACTTGTTTAAATAGTACTTGGTAGCAAGTTCTGAGTGAATACGTCTCTAGGTAAAATGATAGATATGTATTGTAACCAATAAAAAGGGTGGGGCTAGTCTTGTTTGGGTCAAAATTAAAAGTTAAACTCTTAGGAATAGTTAGGGTTTTTAATACAATTTAAAAAAAAGGTGCATTTTATTATCTAGGCATCTGTATTAACTCTAGAGGTTTGCACTTTCAGGAAGTGAACAGTGTGATGTTTTTCATTATCTTTATTGGATTCCATAGTACTTTTTCTTGGCTTTTGGTGTGTAAGAAATATATTTTTTCATGTGTTTCCATTCATGTCTTTCATTAGCCAACACTTTTTAGTCATACATATAAAGAGAAGAGTATATTACAAAGCACAAGAATGAACTGAATTTATAAATTAATGGCTAAAGGTGGCCTACAAAGGCAGTATTCTTTGGATTGTGAAGTGGCAGGCCAGGCACAATCTTTTACAGCAACTGAGTCCTGTATTGAATCTTTAACTTGTCTTTATTTGTAGTTATTTTGCCTGCTCTTTGAGCATGGTGTCATCGTTTGAAACCATATTTTGATAACATTTTTCTCTGAAAATAACAGTCAGAACACATGCAAAGATATTGCTGATCATATAAACTCAATTTTTGGTGTATTTGTGCATGTGTATCTGAGATAAAGAGCCTTTCAATCAGCTGTATTTGTGCAGTTAGTATTTTACTTTATGCCCTTGGCACTTTATGCCTGGTCATTACTCTTTGTTTACATTCTTTGACAACAATGTAGTTTTTTGCTACCCTTTAATTCTTTGCAGATTGCTTTCTTTAAAAGCAGAATCATTTTACTTCGCTAAATTTAATCTTTAAGTTAAACAAGTAATCATCTGCTTGTATTAGAATAAAAACTTAAAAATTATCAAATTTGTCCTTGAAACAAGGCTTCAGTGTTGTATGTTAATTGGCCTTTTTGAGATCTGGTTTCACCTGGGGAGATGTGCTTCATTATTTTCTAAGCAAACCCAGAAACTTAGAAAACACAATTTAACATTATTCTTCCCTGAGGACCAAATACAAGCTATTTTACTTCTATACTGAATTTAATTGTATCATTGGAATTATAGGTAATAGATGAATTTCTGATATTTACTTTCTGTAATTAGAAGCAGGGCATTTTGGAACTACTTACTTGGAGGTGTATTCATTTTTTCTTAGCAGAGAGAGAATTACAATTATGAGAAGATTGTCATAAAGGATAATGAGAATCAGTCAGGCTCACTGGCAACCCCTTTCCAGACACTGGCCTTACTTGCTTTCCCGAGATGTGGATGACATGCTCTTGGAAGCCTTAAAAACATGCCCTTTCTGAAGCTGAAGCTTCTTACACAGAGTACCAAGCAGGGCCACCCTAGCCAGGACATCCAAAAGAGTTTGTATCTTAGAAGAAGTGCTAGAAAAGTTAAAACCATCTTTAAGAGTGAAAAAATTACTGATCCCTGAGGTTTTTCTCGTATCATCCATTAATAAGATGGTGATTACTTTTTTCCCTGTCCTTACCTTAAGTATATTTAAGGTAGTTCTGAAATTCATCAAATATATAGCAGAGATGCTCATTATATTATCAATAAATAATATGCAAGAGGAATCTCACAGAATCTTGATTATTTTTCACCCTTCCTCGTGTATGCCAGTAAGGGATGCATTTTCATTATGATTGCAGAAGACCTGTAGTACAAAAGAGTCAATATCAGCCCCACTGAAGTGAGTGGACATTAAGGTACTATGGTCTTTTCAAGAAATTTTAATTTTTCTATGCGCCATCATTGATTATATTATTTACTGCCTTCAAAAGATCAGTACAAGACCTTCCTTAATTCACATGAACAGAGAAAGTTTTGGAGCACCTTAAATACTCTAAGCACAATATAATATTCACCTACCAGTCTTCAAATCTGTGTTATTCCTGGAATACCTTTGCTTTTCCACTCAAATAGAAACTAAGCTAAGCTGTATGTCAGTAAGTTAGTACAAGGTAGGAAAAAATAATTATAAAGGGCAGACCTAATAATGACAGTCATTTTCTTGGGGTGGTACTTGACATATCTAATGTGTTCCTTTGGCCCTTCATGGGAATCTCCTACAATTGAGGACTCTCGCCTTGGAGGCAGAGCATATTAACTTTGAGACTGATTATTGACTATCTCTTTTGCAGGGGGTGGGGATGGGTTTTTAACTCAAAAAAGAAGATGAGCTAGACAACAGATGTAGTTCAGGCAGCATTTCAGTCTAGTTATTGTTGCTGATCCTAGAGAGCATCAGGGCTTCTGAGTGAAAATGAGTTAATGATCAATTCAGGAGTCTTAATCATATGAAAGTATGATAAAACTAAGTCATCAGCTAATGCGTAGGCCTTTCCTACCTTTATTCAAGAGTTTTACAAACCACAAAATGACAGAAAGACTGTCTGTAGCCTCTGTTATGGATGAATAGGAGTCAGGTTGTATCTGCAATGCCATAAAACAATTCCAAAACTGAGCTGATAAACTTTGTAGAAGATTACAACAGTGGCTCTGCATCTAATGGACTTTTGGACTTTTGCTAGTAAATTATCTTGGCAAATGGCTTTGATTCATCTTTCCCTTTAATTTGCTGCAGAATACAAGAATGTAAAACTTGCCACCCTTGAGGACAATTTATTCTGGGATCTGTGACTAGCCTTTCCCTTCTTTAGGAAGCTGGGATTACTGTTTCATAGTGCAGGTTAACATTTTACTACAGTTTCCTTTAGCCAGTATTTGTGATAGCACTAGCCTTTAGGAGCCAGGGTGTACTTGTATTAGGACCCACTGAACTTCTCCAGCATCTCATCAAGAATTCCACGTAGTCTTGCAAAATAGTACTTAAATCATACAGCTGTTTTTTTGGAGGAGCTGTCTGATTTTAAAAGATATAGAATATATCCTGTATGGAATCCATAACCTTTAACTCTCAAATTGAACTATCTCAAAGTGTGGCTATATAGCTGATGGAGTGAGAGGCATCTTTAAAGGGCAGTTCTTCCTGTCTCTTTTAGACATCATCCTAGTACTAATCATCTCATACATGGATGTGTATAACACTACTAGAGGAGAACCCCGTACACAATATGCCTCAGACCATACCTGTTTGAATGTAATGTTTTCATTTATACTGAACAGGCACTTTCACTTTAGATCATAAGCCAGCACTTCAGTGATACTTGCCTGGGGGGCGAGGGAAAGAATTATAAAGCGTGCATTGGTTACATTCATGGAAGTATGTAAAAGAACCTTAGTTTCACAGTCTCAAAATTAGCATAATAGTCAAGTGGAACATGCTCTTCCCAGAGTCTTGGACATAATGTGTAGTCATCTGATAGGATTGATGCTTCCAGTCTCGTAACAGTTCTGTCAGTGAAGCTGGAATATGTTAAAAATTAACATACTAAAAGTTAACTTAGTACTTGCAAAGAATATGAGCTGCAATGCTCAAATAATTAATTGTCATGGTATTAATAAGATAATGAAAAACTATCTTTTGTAAATTCTTCTTTTAATGAGTCATTGATATATCAATTATTTTTTTTGAGGATTGTTGCTGACTAGATTCATTCTTACATTCAAATATAGTTATTTGAAATCATTGGTTGAGAATTGATTCAGACAGTACATGACTTTTTTTTTTTTTAAAAAGTCAACAAATCAAGTAACAGCCTGTTGCCTTGTTTATAGCGCCTACCTTGCCTACATATCACCTCTATTACAGAAACAGATGATCCAGTCTAACACTTGCTTTCATACTAAAATGTGTGTTAACTAGTATAGAAGGAAATTGTATTCAGTTGCCTACAATATCCTCAAACATTATATTGGCCAGTTGTCATGCATTTCACAAGCCAATGGCTGGATTTTTACAAGGTACTTTTAAGCTTTAGGTCTCATTTTGACTTTTCATATTTGATTTAACATAGTGGAAGAGAAAATAATAATCTTAAGTAAAAGGGAGCGAGGGGAATGCTAGAGGAGCTGACACACTGCTGTTTTATCCTGAGACTTCGGGGGAATGTCTCTCAAAGAGCTTACAGTGCCCATGTTTATAATTGTGTTTTCAGTGATCATCAGGAATAAACTGTACATTTCTTGACTCCTGTTTTGTTTTCTGTATTAACTGCTATGAGACTTGGCTGCTGTGGGGCTTTATGAGTGTACTAATTAAAAAAAAACCCAAAAACAAGTGAGGTTGCTATGGTATAGCACTGTACCTATTAGTTCAAATTAAAGAACTCTTTAATAAACTCTACTTTTGCATAAGGAGGATGAATTTAATTATGAACTTCTTAAATTTCAGTTGTAGACAATAGTTACACTACCTTAAAATTACGTAACACTGATTATATTTCTGTCAGGTAGAGGAGGAACTGGTAGACCTTTTTATGTTAAATCTTTCAGGGACGTAAAATCTTTCATCATCCTTTTAAAATAAATTTATGCGCTTCAGTTTTACAGAGTAGTCTTTAATTTCTGCGAGTGTGTAAATTAAAATTTATGCATATATGTAGTGGTTAGTGCTAATTGCACTGGGATATGGGTAGTAGAAGCGTGAAAACCAAAAAGGGTTTGATTTAGGGAAAGGAACAGAATGACTTGCACTCCCTGCACCTGGTTTTGCTGCCAGTCTTGCTTCTAATCATTTCCTACCCACCCACACTTCTGTGTTACCACACTGAGAAATTAGTAGATGGGTACCTAGGTACCTCCTGTCATCTGTTAGTTATCAACTTGTCTTTATTTGATCTGCTTTGCTAAGAGATTCAGGAGGGAATAAAATAGTCCTCTGACTGTTTCCACTTTAAAGGCAAGCGAACTAGCAACTTCCAGCTTGTCCTACAACATGATGTAGTTGCATGGCTATTTCTACAGTTTCATTCATATTTTGAATATAAGAAAAGAGTAGGTGATTCTGATGCTTTGTTCGGCCTTATACTGTTTGTGTAGTGAAATGCTAAACTTGTGTTCTCTCCCTTTCAAAACAGATACAATTGAAAAAGAGATAAGAAAAATCTTCAATATTCCAGGTGAAAAAGAGACCAGATTGTGGAACAAATACATGAGTAATACTTTTGAACCTTTGAATAAACCAGACAGTACCATACAGGATGCTGGTTTATACCAGGAAAAGGTACAGTGTAATATTATTTCTTTTTTTAATACGTTTATTTTTTTGCTCATGAAAATGTAGCTGTACCCAATGAATTTTCCTTCTTTTTAAACGAAAATTGCCTCCTAATAGATTGTGTTAGGGATAGGGGATTTTATAAACAAGTCCATAAAAATAAAAGTAGTCTTTGACTGTATTTTCAGGATTAAAGATGAGTTTAACTCTCCTGGTGAATTAAAAGTAAATGAACGTAATGTTGCTAACTTGAATTTTGTAAAACCTGAAATAAAAAAATATTCCTAGGATCTGGGATATGTTCCTATAATGAAACCCAAAATTTGAAGAACCTTTTAGGTACTCTAAAAGAATAATGTCTTCCACTCAAATTCCACTGTCCAGATTTCAGAAAGAAATTAAGAAAAAATGAAAATATTTCAGATAAGAACTATAGAGGCAAAAAAGAGCTTGAAAACCTGCTTTAGCGTGAGACTATATCATCACTTCAAAATCCCTTTATGGGAGGATTTCTTACAAGAGAATTTTTTTACCTTTCCAGATGAATATAAAGAACAAATATCGGATGTTAAAGCTACACAAATACAAATGTGAACTGATTGAACAATTTCATCATTAGAATAACTTTTCAGATTATTACATTGATTCTTTAGTCTTCAAATAGTTGGATGTTTTTTCAACAGCTGTAGTTCATGCTGTCATGCTACAAATATGAATGGATGAAACTTTATGGCAGTAATTGTAGGCAAGATTATATTAAAGTATTTCCTTTTGCCTTGAAATACTTGACTCTAACTTACTTACCAGCAGTATTTATGCTGTGCTTCAGATTTCTTTTATGGCATGGAAGGTAAGTAATCAGTGCACCAAAATAACAGCTTGAACTATTGTGCCCTTTAGCTTCATGCTGCACGCACTTAAACCCTCACACAGGTAATTTTAACAATGCAGAAGTCCTGCTGGAAGAGCCCACATCTCCCATAAAAGATTTGCGTCAAAGATGTAACTTGCAAATTGCCTCTGTCCCAGTGAAACATTAACTATGAAGCAAGCATGTTCTAATGTAGCCATAAAAAGATCTCTAGGTGACATCTGTACTTTCAGCAAAACAAATATTGTTCAAAACTGAGTTTAACCATGGTTTCTGAAAATGCTAAATGTCATAGTGGACCATGTGTGTTTGGTCAGTTGCACTTGCTGACACACAAGGTTGTTATTTTTCTTGCTGAGCCTCCTAATCTAATAATAGTTATTCTGACTATTACAGTCTGTCTAACCTAATAGTTATTTTTTAGTGTGTAATTCTAATCTATGTATGTGATTGAGTAAATTAATGTTTTGAATTTATTAGTTGGTTTCTGAAGTGAACCTTTAGGGGTTCCATTGAACTTTTAAGTCTAAGTCTTCCTTTTATTTAGTAGTCTCTGTGAGCCAATGGAAGGAAATATGGCAGAACATGTCTTACAGCATTCATGACCAAAGATAGCAGGCTACTCTTTTCCAGATAGAAAGCTGGTCATGATAGAAAGCTAGTTTTCAATGTCATGTCTTAGCGTATTCAGACTGAAAATGTGACTACGTTTTCAAGTGGCAGCATGACTTATGTATAAGGTTTTGAGCATAAGTACATATGTGAATGTATGTCACTGTGTAGACACATACTGCTATAGCATGGCAGTTAATTATCATCCTGAAACATCAGTGTACAGTTACGCAGAATTAGTTGCATTGGAAATTAAGAGCTAGATTCAGTTTAAATATTGGAGTCTAGTTGCCATTTCAAATGGTCTGGCTATCCCAGCTGTCAATCCAGAAAGGCATGAGCTTTTTGTAGATCCTGTGTCATATCTGCCAGCCTAGGGCAGATATCTCAAATACCCAAAGGCGTTTCAAATGGCACTTGATGCCTGTGTTTAGGACTGAGTGTTCTGTACTCCCTTTTGTACCAATGACAACTTGAATGAAATTAATTTCATTAGCCGACTGTCCCATTGGAAAATGAATATTAGATGAATGCTTTTGCAAAAAAATTACAGGAGTAACCAAACAGGTATGATTTTAAGGCTATCAAGGCAGAAAATAGTTTGGTTTGTTGGTTGTTTTTGTTTTTTTTTTTCCTACCGATCTGTGTTGTGTGTGAGGCAAAATTCCTTCAGGAATATCCCTTCTTTAACAGGGCTGTTGTATAGACATGTGATTTCTATAGATTCATGGATGCTGCTTAGACATTACAGGTCGTCTTCTGACCTCTTTGAGAGGTAAGGTCTCACCATTTTATCCATGGATTGTTGAGGCACAGAAATACTAAGTGGCTTGCCCAAAGTTGCACAAATTAAGATGTGAGGAGAAAATAGTGAACAGAGCAAGAGGAAGGTGCAGTGTAATTGAATGGAATATTCTTGAACCTCAGGGAATAGTAACTTAAACATCAGTCTTTTCCATCTCAATCACGTCAGCAAATCCATTAAAAAAGATTGGAACAGAAAGCAGTCTAGTGATATTTTTATTTCAGTTTTCTTATTACGCTTTTTGTCGTAGGTACTGGTGATAGAACAGAAGAATGAGGATGGAACATGGCCAAGAGGTCCTTCAACTCCTAAGTAAGTTGTGAATTTTAAGTCATGTTATTCACTATAACTTAACTATTTTAATGTTACTTGCTTTAAAAAAAAAAAACCCTGTTTTTTGAAGTGGCAATTTATTTTGAAAATTGGCCTTCAGATGTTTTAGCTGAAAATATACCGAATAGTGTATTTGTTGTAAGTGCTGCACGTTGTAGAACATGACATAATAATGGTGAATTCCTGCATATACATTGCTTAATTTTGTTGATTTCAGCCAGTGATATACGTTATGCTGCTTAAAAATAGGAAAAAAACCCAAAAAAACATAGTAGAAAACTGTAAAACTTCGCTTATTTTATTTAGATTTCTGTTTCAAAGCATAGCGTATCTGTTAGGTGAACATAGATACATGTGTTTTATCAGTATTTTTCTTATATTTAAATGTTTTCATGGATAGCTTGTCCTTTTGTCTCCAGAGCACAATATTTACACATAAACATTATTTAAATTGCAGTCTACATTACCAGCATGTTGCTTTTGTTCTGTGTTGGGCTGTCACCAATTAAGAGAGTACGATGTTCTTTTTCTTTTCTGTTCTTCCTGCTGCCATTATCAACAGCATCTTGATAATGGCAATTGAGTGGAAAGACTTGAGTGTGGTTTTTCTCATTTAGATGGATAAACTTTTTTTAATATTGCTTCCAGAATCTAAATCAGTTTCTGTCGGTTTTGAAGAACACTTTGAACTAGTTAATAGTAAACTAATGTGATCTCAGCCTTACAAATAGTTAACTGTGGTTTTTCCCTTTGTTGGCTGGTTCTTGAGCATATCTTTCATAAAAAGCTCTTTTAAGTTCCTTTTATTCCTTTTGATATTCTGCATTCAGGTAATTGAGGTTCATTGTTGTTTTAAAACATTTTCGTAGTATCATTGCTTATCATTTGAAGGACAGAGATTCTTTATCTGTGGTGTTTTATCTCAAGCACTTTTATTGGGATCACTAGCTTCTATTAAGTTGCTTAATGAAGTCTGAGTTCAATTTAAGCTTAGTATGAACAGTACAGTCTTGCTTAGCAAGACATTACGACACAAAGAATTGAGAATGTAGAGCAGCAGAAAGAATGGGATGCAAAATACTTGAAGTTTAATCTCTGACCTCAAAAAGCATCTAGTAGAAATGTAACTTCTGAGTCAAATTTTCGATATAGATTTTGAAGGTTAAAAGAATTTAGTTAACTCAGTGTCGTGGATTCTTTTGGAAGTTTTGGTAGAAGATATTCTTGGTGATGGTACCTGCTTTTATTCTGCCAAATTTCCATTCCACTTTTTGGAGGGCATTCAGGAGCAGTATATAAATTAAAGAATATCTCCTGGAAAATGTTTGATCTGGGGACGAGTAAAATGGTAATTGAGAATACTGGTGTCAGAGGAGGCTATAAGTAAACCAGCAAATGAGGATGAATAGTTTTAGTGTGAAGCTGGGGTATGTTTTTGAGGTTTGGCAGCTATCAGAAAGATTGATTGAAATTTGGTATTCAAATGCATTGTGATAGTGGAAGGTTTGCAAAATTCAGTGGATTCCAATGGAAACTGTCAACAAGCAGTAATGGGGACAGGTTTTTACATCTGTTTAAAACTTTATGAAACATCTAATAAAAGTTTAAAGGGGTAGAAAAATTAAACACTTGCTTTTGAGTCTTCTGTGTGGGATGCATTAGGAGTATGTTTGTCGTCAGAAATAGTATACCTCCAGATACCTTCCTACAGTCCTGTCATTGATGACACACTGGTCTCACACTGGTTTCTACTGAGACTACCTCTTTGTAGTGCTTGTTTTAGAAGAGTACAAATTGTAAACACAAATTCTGAGGCCAGGGAATAAAATGCCATATTTAGAAAGGTCAAAATGTAGAATATTGGAAAGTGTGAAAGACTTAAAAAGCTTGAAAAGGGCAGGATCATTTCAGAACATCAGCTAAGCTTTTCACAGAATTACAGAATAGTTGAGGTTGGAAGGCACCTCTGGAGATTGGCTAGTCCAATCCCCAGCTCAAAGAAGGGTCACCTAGAGCAGGTTGCTTGGGACTGTGTCCAGCCAGGTTTTGAGCATCTCCAAGGACGGAGGCTCCACAGACTCCCTGGAAAACCTATTCCAGTGTTTGATAACCCCCACTGTAAAACAAAATTTCTTATATTTAAATGGAATTGCCTGTGCTTCAGTTTGTGCCCATTGCCTCTTCTCCTTTCAGTGGGCACCACTGAGAAGACATTGGCTCAGTTTTCTTTACTCTCCCCCATCGGGTATTTCCACACGTTGATAAGGTCGCTCTGGAGCCTTCTCCAGGCTGAACAGTCCCAGCTCTCTCAGCCTCTCCACGTAGGCCAGATGCTGCAGTCCCTTGATCATCGTTGTGGCCCCTCACTGGACTTGCTCCAGTATATCCCTGTCTCTCTGGCACTGGGGAGCCCAGAAGCGAACCCAGCACTTCAGGGTTCACTCCTCCCTTGACCTGCTGGCAATACTCTTCTCAATGCAGCCCACAAGGTTGTTGGCCCAACATGACCCATTGCTGGCTCATGTTCAGCTTTTTGTCCCGCAGGACCCCAGGTGCTTCTCTGCCAAGCTGCTTTCCATCTGGTCACCTGCCCCCTCCCACCCCTCCAGTGTGTACTGGTGCCTGGGCTTATTCCTCCCCAGGTGCAGGCCTTTGCATTTCCTTTGATTGAACTTCATGAGGTTCCTGTTTGCCCATTTCTCCAGCCTGCTGAGGTCCCTCTGAATGGCAGCACAACCTATGTTGTGACAGTTGAAAATGAGAGATAGTAAGGTGTTCTGCACTTTTTCCGTGCCTCTTTCTTTTTAGCGGAAGCATAACAGCAATCCTTGTATTGACTGCTACTTTTGGCAATCTTTCTTTCTTCCTACTGCAGGTGATGAACACTGGCAGTTTTTAATGAGAAACATGTTAAAGGTGTGAGCATCTTTTTCTACTGTAAGAAAAGAACATACTTACTTTGAAAGTGGCCAAATTGGGACCTCAGCTCAGTATAGGAAGGAATACTTTGGAAAATGATAATTCTTTTTCTCTTAAAAGTATAATGAATCAGTACAAGTGAAAAGATCAATTATCATCCTAATTGTCTCTTCTTCTGAAGAAACTAGGAAGAAATTATTTCAAGTTTGAGATCCTTTTTATATAGGAGCAGAGACCCTGCTGTGCAACTTAGAATTTCAGCTCTATGTCCAAGCTTGTCAGTGTTTGGATTTCTTTTATGTGTACTGTTCTACTTCTGAATTTACTTAATTTTGAAAGTAATTGCAACATCCACTGTAAAATCCCCACTGAAGTTTAATGATATCTGCTATTGTCTTATATTTTAATGCTACTTAAAAGGTTTGTAGGTTGTTTTTTTTTGTCTGGGAGTATCTGAATGTGGTGTATGTTCTTAAAATGTGCACAGGGTCAGTCAGGCTTAGGAATAGCTGGATTTTTGGCTCTCTGAGAGGTTCTGTTTATATCTACTGTTTATATCAGCTACTGGGATGTTTGTTGCTCAGGAAGCTTGGCTACTGTGAAACTTTTCTAGGAAGCTCATAGTGACTTCTCCTGGAATGTCTTTACTGTCATCTGCTCCCAAAATAGATATTACTCCGCATTAATGGGCAGTTCTGCAGAAAATTTTGTTATACTAACTTTTCTGTGAATAAATATCTCCTCAGCGTCATACACGTGACAAACTCATCCAAACATGGTGATCCCCGTTGCTTGGTAGCTTAGTTGCTGCTGATCCCAGTCCTTGAATGAAGACTTGTGATCTGTGTGCAGACAACTTTTTTCATATCTGTATCCTCCTGTGGGAGATTATTCCACAGGCAGAAAAACAGCCAACCAACCAACCCTATTTGAATGGTTTATTATCATCAAGAGGATGTTTTAAACGAAGAGAGAAAAAAAAACCAAACAAACGAAGGTTGTAGTTCAAATAACTTAAGCAACTGTACTACAAAATGAGATTACTTGTGTTCAGGTAAAATTGTACAACAGTTAAAACCTTTCATCCAGTCTGTGATTATAAAACTTGAGACAAGGAGAAGGAAGGAGCTTAAGTTTTGAAGTTCCACGAATTACTGAATGAATAGCCAGGACAAGGTTTCTATTAGTTTTCTGTTAAGAAGTTGTTACCTGTTTACGTGCAAATATAAAAGCAAGTTAGAGAAACATACAAAGAAGCTATTAACTAGAAACTTCCTTCTAATTTTAGAAAACTATTGTTTGTTGTTTTCTTAGAAAACTTAATAAGTATTAAATCTATTGATCAATCGTATTCTTCAAAAATGCTTCTTATATGGTAAAAAACTAAGACGACTTAATTAATCTATCAATATACATTTGTGTGTATAATGAAAATAACAGATTTAATTCTGATCCCTTCACTGTGGAATAAATCATCCTAATCAAATAGCTGGCTATTTTGCATAATTTACAGATGGTCTGCTATTAACTTTAACAATTTTTGCATGTAAAAGGGAATGCATTAATATTTTTTTTACCATACAAAAATTTGAGACTGTAATAGTGAATGTTTTCTTACAATATTTGTCACATGGTAAGTTTTTTCATAATTTTTTTTTCTGGTTCAAAACTGTATGCCTTTTTGTCTTGGAAAAACACTAAAGGCTCTTACTTGATTCTTTTTTGTTTCTGAGCTGGATCCCATAATGTTTTTAAGAGGAAAAAAAAATTTGAATAAAAGATGCTTAGCTATTCTTTTTGAAAAAATTTAATGATTGTGTATCCAAGTGTTATAGGAAAAAATATCCATGAGTCTTCAAAAGAAAAACTGTGTTTGTCTACTGAAATGAAAAGTATCATCTTTAACCAAGAGATTTAAAAGCTGGGTTTTTTCCCTGAAGCAGTTGATGTGCAGACAGGTGTGCCTTTCTACTGACTTTGCTGTAAGAAAGACAATTGTGGAGAATAGAGCTAACTGGGGACTTACTCTGATGTCTTACACTGTAAAAGCAAGAGCTGTC